AATACAGGTGTTACGGTATCACTATATATTTTCAGGCTCTCTCGCTCGGAATTCAGAGAATCGGAAAATCTGAAATTCGAAAATTCAGAGAATGGGAAATTATGAATTCGCGAAAAACTGGAATTTGGGAATTCTGAATTTCAGGAAATCGAAAATTACTGTAAACTAAAAATCCTGAAACAACAATTTTGAAATTCAAAAAAATTGAAATTTTTCAGANCCCGAGAGAGAGAGAGAGAGAGAGAGAGAGAGAGAGAGGGTCTCTTGGGGAGTTGAAATCCGGGTCAAAATGAGGACAAATGTTTCATTATGTTTTGATTTTGTAGATTCTTGCTTTTTTCATCCCATAAGCCAAAAAATTTGACGCTTAACCTCTCATTAGAGCGCATATCTCTCCCTGTGTGACCATTTGGACACGCCCATCATTAAGCCTATTTATCAAAGGTTCTGTAATAGATATTAAAATATGATTAACTAACAAAATGTTTATCATAATATCACCTATAATTTACTAATTCACAACTTTTTGATATTTTTTACAGTAACCCAGATAAATTAACTTAAAGGTGGGGGGACATGAAAAAAAATAACGTTCTCGAAATTTCGTTTAAATATGCCCCTCGAGGAGTTGAACTTGTTGGGGCGATGATTGAGGGTGCGGCGCCGCTACCGACTGAGCCACGCGGGCAAAGAAAAAGCGGTCGCCCGATTGCATACATAAAGGCGAGGACGACAGCTGTACGCAGAGTGACATTAAGCGTTGTACACCGTGACGGTAGAATGCATACCTAGCTACAAAAAAACTACGAAAAATCTCCTGTCCCCCCACATTTAAATTTGAGTTTAAAGGTAGCGTAGCTCAATCTATGCTTTCACTTTGAACTACATTATCTCGGCTCCTGTAGGAAAAAAGAAAAAGTCGTCAACTGATAAAATGCTTATCATAATATCAGAAAGATTTTTTTAGTTGACAACTTCCTCTTATCTCTCTCAGTAACCCAGATAAATTGGCTAAAGTTAGAGTATGTGACTAATTGTTTAATGATAGCAAGTTATCAATACCTGGTTGTTCACATATCACATGTTTATTCAATCGCTTTTAGATTCCGTTTATCTCTGCGTCTCTCTCTCTCTCTCTCTCTCTCTCTCTCTCTCTCTCTCTCTCTCTCTCTTTTCCGAGAGAGCACTGATTTCTTGCCCTGTTCTCTTTTTTTTTCGCTAACTGAGTACTTGTGTGTTTTTTCTGTTCTTTCACCGATGGGAGGAGAAAGGTTTCGAGACCAGAAACAAGACACAATCATATACCTGTGCGTCATTGAAATTTTGGGCTTTTTAAGGATTTTTTTTTCGTTGGAGCGGGTTTTTTGAATTTAAGAAATTAGAATTGGTGATTATTGTACCTTCTGGAATTGATCTCCTGGATTTTTTCCCAATTTTTCTTCGGAATTATTGAATTCCGCCTTTCTCCAATTTTCGAATTTTACCTATTCCTAAGAATCCTAAGAATCCTAAGAATTCTGAGGATCCTGAATTCAAGAATACTAGAATATTTAGAAATTCAGAAATTCAGAAATTCAGAAATTCAGAAATTCAAAAATTCAGAAATTCAGAAATTCAGAAATTCAGAAATTCAGAAATTCAGAAATTCAGAAATTCAGAAATTCAGAAATTCAGAAATTCAAAAATTCAAAAATTCAGAAATTCAGAAATTCAGAAATTCAGAAATTCAGAAATTCAGAAATTCAGAAATTCAGAAATTCAGAAATTCAGAAATTCAGAAATTCAGAAATTCAGAAATTCAGAAATTCAGAAATTCAAAAATTCAGAAATTCAGAAATTCAGAAATTCAGAAGTTCAGAAATTCAGAAATTCAGAAATTCAGATATTTGAAAATTCAGAAATTCAGAAATTCAGAAATTCAGAAATTCAGAAATTCAGAAATTTGAAAATTCAGAAATTCAGAAATTCAAAAATTCAGAAATTCAGAAATTCAGAAGTTCAGAAATTCAGAAATTCAGAAATTCAGATATTTGAAAATTCAGAAATTCAGAAATTCAAAAATTCAGAAATTCAGAAATTCAGAAATTCAGAAATTTAGAAAATCAAAAATTCAAAAATTCAGAAATTCGAAAACTCAAAAAACATTTTCCTCATTTTTTAAAATCCCTATTTCTTTTTGTTTAACAACAGTTGTCATTTTTCTTCTTCTCGACTAGCCTCTTCTTCTTCTCATTAATTTGTGTTCTTTTTCTTTTTTGCTCTTTTATTTCTTCATTTTTCTTCTTCTTCTTCAACACAAAAAACCGAATGTTTTCTATGTTTTCTGTCCCTCAGAAAACTCGAAACACATTCATTTTCAATACGAGAAAACGAGAGAGTATGGAGAATAGAGAGACGCAGAGAAATAAAGGATGTTTGAGATACTTTTTTCATTGTAAAGTTGTGGTTTTTCTTTGAGATTTTTGAGTGAAAAAATTAGATTTTTTTTAGAAATCGATTTTTTTGAATTTCCAGGAACTTCTGAATTTCTGAATTTCTGAATTTCTGAATTTCTGAATTTTTGAATTTTTGAATTTCTGAATTTCTGAATTTCTGAATTTCTGAATTTCTGAATTTTTGAATTTTTGAATTTCTGAATTTTTGAATTTATGAATTTCTGAATTTTTGAATTTCTGAATTTTTGAATTTCTGAATTTTTGAATTTCTGAATTTCTGAATTTCTGAATTTCTGAATTTTTGAATTTCTGAATTTTTGAATTTCTGAATTTCTGAATTTTTGAATTTCTGAATTTTTGAATTTCTGAGTTTCTGAATTTCTGAGTTTCTGAATTTCTGAATTTTTGAATTTCTGAATTTTTGAATTTCTGAATTTTTGAATTTCTGAATTTCTGAATTTTTAAATTTCTGAATTTTTGAATTTCTGAATTTCCAGGAACTTCTGAATTTTCGAGTTTTCTGAATTTCAGAATTTTTAATAATTCCCTTCCCGGATATTATTTTTTTTTCCAATACTTCTATTTTCCTATTTTTTTTTCCATAAACCAAACAACTTCCGCTCTACTCATTTCCATTTTTTCCTCTTTTTTGACTCATAAATATGCAATTTTTTCGTCTTTTCTAAACTGATCCGTTTCCGCACTTTTTTGTTTATTTCTTAGATTCTTAGATTCTTAGATTCTTAGATTCTTAGATTCTTAGATTCTTAGATTCTTAGATTCTTAGATTCTTAGATTCTTAGATTCTTAGATTCTTAGATTCTTAGATTCTTAGATTCTTAGATTCTTAGATTCTTAGATTCTTAGATTCTTAGATTCTTAGATTCTTAGGATTCAGTAGGTGGAAGTTTGAGCATTCCCAGTTTTTCAGAAAATACTGGGAATTCGAAAAATCTGAAAGTTCTCAAATTTTAGAAATCCCAACATTTGGAATTAACCTGAAACGCCTGGTACGCCTGTACCGTGTATGCTCTAATAGAAGCTCACTCTATATGTTCGTCTAATTTGAGCTTAATTATCTCGGTTCCTGTAAGAGATATCAAAAAGCGCTCAACTGATAAACTATTTATCATAATGTCACCAACATTTTATTAGTTGACCACTTTTTGATATCTCTCAAGGCAACTAAGCTAAAAGTTGCCGAAAAGGAAAACTCAAAATTTCAAAATATCGAAGTTTTCAAATTCTAAACTATTCTCACTAAACACTTCCCATATATGGTTCTGCTTCTCAGTAGCCCTTTGGCGAAACGGAACGTAATTGCAAATTGCATTCCAGAGCCATACGGAGCCGTCGCCGTGTTCTCTCTCTCTCTCTCTCTCTCTCTCTCTCTCTCTCTCTCTCTCTCCATGTGCTCAATTCAATTTAGGAATATACATTGTCGTCTCATCATCGTATATACATGTGCAAAAAGAGACAAAAATCCCATCTTCTTCTTCTTTTTCTCAGAAAACGCACTTGTCTAGCACTTGAGAAGAAGAAGACGTTCTGAAGATCTTCGAGAAGATTTTCTAGAGAATATTAAAATTTTCTATGAGCTTATGGTCCACAAACTACTGTACCAAAAGTCATCAATTTTCAGCTTTTATAGGGACCGAGTTAATTGAGATTCAAAAGCGCGCTAGGTGCGCCGACCGCTTGCTGCCCACCCTTGCACACTTAGAGCTCTATTATCTCGGCTGCCATATAAGATATCAAAAAGTGGTCAACTGATAAAATGTTGGTGAGATTACGATAAGAATTTTTTCAGTTGACTACTTTTAAATATCTTTTCTAGAAGCTAGGATAAATTGAGTCAAAGTCGAAGGACCGAATTCCTGTCTCAGGTCTTCATAGATGCCATCTTTTCTTCATGAAAAGTGTACCACCCTCCTCGGAGTACAACCCAAAATAGTAGATTAGAATCTGTGACACGTTCATTTTCCTTCTATTTGACATACATATTCCCATTTTCCGGGTTTATATTCAAGAATCTAAGAATCTAAGAATCTAAGAATCTAAGAATCTAAGAATCTAAGAATCTAAGAATCTAAGAATCTAAGAATCTAAGAATCTAAGAATCTAAGAATCTAAGAATCTAAGAATCTAAGAATCTAAGAATCTAAGAATCTAAGAATCTAAGAATCTAAGAATCTAAGAATCTAAGAATCTAAGAATCTAAGAATCTAAGAATCGAAGAATCTAAGAATCTAAGAATCTAAGAATCTAAGAATCTAAGAATCTAAGAATCTAAGAATCTAAGAATCTAAGAATCTAAGAATCTAAGGATCTAAGAATCTAAGAA